ATTATTATTATTATTATTATTATTATTGTTATTAGTTTGATTGAATTTAATTTAGTTACCGAGGCAAGAACATGTAGTGTATTTTTAAAACCATTATGGATTTGTTTGCAAGAACAAAGGCATCAGCCTTTTTTGGAAGTTATTTTAGTTACAATAATAAGAGTTATTTGCTTGTGCAAATGTATTGCCTGTACAGTCAAACTCATGAAGGCTAAATGTGTAAAATTTTGGACACCATGAATACTACAATGTCATATCTGGCCCATAGGTGAATCAATCATCTCAGTCTTTAATAAATGAGATGAAGTATTGCAGACATTTGTTTAAGGGAGACACACTTTAATAACCCATTGAAATTTTCCTTGCACTAAAAGAACATTTCTATATCCGGGTGATGGCTAGGGGTATATTTTGGGTCCTTCATTATAATTTCTGCAATCAGTAACTAGATTCCCTTGTACAATTGAGTAATTATGCTGCTCACTTCTAAGCAGTACAGATAATCAATTTTAATTAGGAAATCATTTATAGTAGGCAAAGCCATGCCTATTTAAGGGGGGAAAAAACCCCTGACCTTCAGAAGTTGATTTCAGATGCAATATTTGGTTACTACAATGATGTTCAGCTTTTTCAACCCAATTTTCCACTTGGGTTGACTTAAGCACAGTGGTTTAGACAAGGTCATGCAGAATTAGTTTCTCTGCTAAGAGTTGACCCCAAGATCACGTTGGCTCCCATTCTTTCATTATAATTACTTGACTGAATGACCTATTATATCCCATTGCATACCTACTGATTTTTCTGATCTTCTACCTTACTGACCTACATTGGTAAAAACACTGCTGTTCTATATCAAATAGAGAGGATCAATTTGCTCCTGAGAACTGCTTCAAGGTTTGTTATTCAAATATTCCTTAAACATGTATTAAGATAAGTGCATAGTGTCTGCCAAAGAGCTTCTCTGAGGCCATGGGTTAATCTCTTAATGCATTATACCATGCATATGTTTGAGCCACATATCACCAGCTCTTCCTCTGCTTTCACTCGGCTGAGTATAGAGCACTGCCATTCCTTTAACAGATGAACTTGGTCACGGTCAGGCTACAATTGTATAAGATCTACCCAACTGTAAAGAGCATAGCAGCAAGTCTGCTGCCCTGTGATGAACCTAAAACTGCCAGGGTGTCAGCTGCTTAAAATCCAGCGTTGGGAACATCTTTAGATCCAAAACCCCTGGCCAGTTATTTCACAGTAGCATCCTGGTTTAGCTGACTGGCAATGCTATCCTAACTCAAACATTGGGGAGGTTAGGATTAGATGCAAGCTTAATTCTCTATTAAAATGCTCTTCTGCCACCAGAGTCCTCTTCTCCTAGCTGATCCCAGAGTTCTGCCAATAGAGCTACATACTAGTACAAATGTTTTACAGGCTAAGATCTGCTGACAGAAGAGACCAAAAAAAAAAAAAAAAGTCCGGAGTAGAAAGGCGCATACAACCCTTTTCTAGCCCATGGACACAGCCACAGTGCACCACAGAATTAGATCAATGTGAGGTTGGTCCTAATTTTCACCTTTCTTAGGCTGGACAGGGCTTGGATTCAGCAGAGCTTCATATGGTCTCAACTGGTGTAATGTTAACTGGCATTTAGCTGCTTTGGCAAGTCAGGATTAGACTCTACATTATAGTATAGATACTATACTATTTACAGAGGCTTGGGACATACAAGAAATCCAGCCATTTCTATCCCACATAAATGGGTAGGCTGTAGCCTTATTCAAATGTTGTTGGATAAATATGTGAAGAGGGAGAGTATGCTAACAATGGAAAATCAGCACTCTGGATTTCATGGAGAGTCTCCATGCACAGCAGAGGTCCTCTGCTTCAGAAAATCACTTGAAGCAGCAGCACTCTCCTCAAAAAATTACTGAACCACCTAACTGGCCTCTTATATAGCAAGCAAAGGAAAGTCCAGAAGAATTTTGCAGATCTTGGACTATGCATACCAAACCAGCCCTCTGCACTGGATACTGTGCAAATATTCTCCACCAAAGGAAAAAAATGTCTATGATGCAAAACTTACTTTTCTGAAGAAGCAGAAGAAATAAAACAATCTATCTAATTTACTACAGAGCAGCTTGACCTGCAATGAAAACACCATGAAAATATGCAATAATATCATAAATCTATCTATCCATACACTGAGTCAAGCAGAAATGCCAATCCTCTCACAGGGCCTGTCCTTTTGACCCACAAAACCCATATGGATGATACAGCCATCTGGTAACCTAGAAGCCTTTTCACACAAACCATGACTCAAAGAATATTTCCAAACTTTGACAAGCTGGATGACAAAACAGAAGCTGTGCCTTAATTTCTAAAGTATGAGGAGGAAGTGTTCAATGGCACAAGGAGGAAATACTGTATATACTGACCACATCCACCTTCCTCCCAGCACCACAGAATGAATTCTATGTGGACTCCTCTAGAGTGTCAGAAGGAAGAATTGGGCCTCAATATTGAATTATTTCACCACTGCACCACTGCTGAGATCTTCCACAAGGGACACAATTTAATATCCACTCTTACCTGGACAGACCACAACGTTAGACACAGATTCAAAAACAATACCAACATTGTCATCAAAGATGCAGATAAGGGTGGCCCTGTGGTTGTCACTGATACACCGAGCTACACACAGGAAGTTGAGAGACAATTATCGAACTTTAAATTTTACTAGCTTCTAACTACAGACCAAACTGCCAAATATCAAAAGGAATTTCAAAATGTTATGGAAAACTTCTCTGAAAATGCATATGAGCAAATCCTGTCTAATACACCTTAAGAACCACAACCAGCCACCTTCTACCTGCTACCAAAAATACACAAAACAGGGAACACCAGTAGATGTATTGTATCAAGCATTAATACAGTCATAGTTGGATATGTATGTGGACTCCATCCTCAAACAATATGCTTGCAAAAACATGATTTTTTTTTTTCATTTCAAAGCATGGAAAAATTACTTTTGGGGAACTACAGTTTTCCAGATCACAAAGGCAGAAAGGGCAATGACAGTGATGGCTAGGGAATTCTGGGAGGTGTAGTATAAAATTGTAATTCTTCCATGCATTATTTTTGCTCTTCTGTAAGGTGGGCTAATCCAACTTCATGGCATATTAGAAGTTGTCTTTTCAGGCATGCCCAGAGAAGTATGTTAGACTCTAGCACCATTACTTAATTTTTTTTTAAAAAATGTACAGATTTGTTAATTATAACGCCAGTACACCAGCAAGTAGAAACTTAGCACATACTTTCATAGTCCTGAAGATTCTCAATAGCACAGAGTAACCTTGTTCGATCTTCTGGGTCTTCAATATTAAGTTCAATTAAATGGCATTCTTTTAGATCTTTCAAATCTTCCAGTGTTTCATAGCCATTTAGCAAGAGGGTTGATGAATAGTCCTGTGAAAAGAAATGTAAATTTATACTGTTAGAAAGATAGGCATGTTTACATAGGTAGCTTTTTGTCTTGCATTTGGGGGTAGGGGTGGAGAAACAACAATAATATGCTAAGTATAGCTTTGATGCTTTTAGCTCATTAGCAATCCACATTCTGATGGCTCATGATAAAGGCAGAGCATGTGCTTCCCTCCAAACTACAGTCACCCTGGTATCTGAGCTACCCTGAATTACAATAAATTGTATAATAATCTTAGAACTGCAGGGCTGGGAAGGACCCCATGGATAATCAAGTCCAGCCCCTCTCAAGGAGGCACAGTGGGGAATCAAACCCCCTGGTAGGCTCCACAGCCAGATGCCTCAACCAATGAGTTATCCAGCAATTAATACATTTTAAAGAAGGTAATAACACTATTGCTCCTTCTTATTAGTTTATTAAGACATAACTGATGTTTCATTACTGTCTATATGGTACTGAATATGTGTACACTGAACTAAGCTCAAGAATGCTAAATTTGTAATTACGTTACGACATTTGGCTGAATGCCTTCTGCTTAATGTAGCATGCCCATTAGTGAGTCAACTCTTCCATAAATTCTATTGATTCAATAGGCTTACTCTAGCAGCAGCTTACTATACTAAGCAACAGGATTTCAACCCTGGGGGGAAGGATGTCTATGACATTTCACATTTTCTTTGCAACCTACATTTGAACCCATAAGCACGTTTGGACATGTTTGTGAGTAATCTGGTGAGAAATGTCGAAAAAATCTTCCCCCTAACAAAACATTTATTATCATATGGTGAAAGAGCCATAAATGGCATTGAATCCTGATGGAATCATGCTTAGAAGAGACTCCTTAAAATCAGTGGGACCTAGTTAATCAAATTTAGCTTTCCTGTGGAAATATCTGTTAAAATGCTGTTAATTATACAAAGGTATGTTAATAGAATAAATCCAACATTAATATCACTTAAAGTAAGTACTAAAATGAGTTGGAGTTGTTAGTCAAAACTATATCAAGTCTCATTGATTTCTGTGGATTTGGCCTAGTTAGGAATAACACTGGATTTAGTCCAATATTTATTAATGTAAAGCTAAAATGAATTAATGAAATTAATATATGGAAAATATTCTTCTTTCCTTATAGGAAAAAGCTAGCTTTCATAGACCACAGCCTATTCTGTCAGAGGCCTTCAGAGGCCTATGCAGAATCAGGCTCCAATCCACAAAAGCTTATACCAAATACAACAAACTCACCTTTAAGATGGCACAAGATTTTGTTGATTTTGCTACACTTAATTGAATCACCTTGCTATCTTACTCACTGAAATCAGTGGAACTAAAGTTGTAATTCTGTGCATTTTTGCCTGGTGATAAGTCCTGTTGAACTCAATTAGGAAGTGCCTTTTGAGCAAAAATCAGACACACGCTTATAGCTCTATATTCCTTTTGTTTATATACCTACAAATTTGGCAAAATATTTCAATATCTAGGCTAAGGCCAATCCAAAACTCTAAAGATTCTTTATTCTCCTTTACATTGATTTACAGTCCACTTTGCTGTATTCTTTAATCAAATCACAATGGAGTACAGAAATATTTATATCTAGTTTGTAGGGAAAATAATGTCAACACACTACAATTTATAAGTCTGCCATTCCAAGCAGTACAGCATTTCTGCACACAACATAAAGCATGGTAGCACAGACATTTGACTCTGTGTATGGTGCATATTTATAGGTGTACATTTCTGAAACCTGTGCATGTGAGAGGATTTCATTTATGCTTCTTGCTGTTCAAGGTTAAGAGTAATAATTAGTATCTGAAAATGGCACTGTCATTACGAAGCATTAGAGAAGTACTGCTTATATTGGGTAACATCAATACTGTAGGTTTCCCCCTCTATAATTTAATACAGCTATAGTAGATATGAAACTTTTATAAATCCTAGGAACTACACTTAAATCAGTTACAAACTATATTTTGGTCCATAAACAAAATGAAGTGAAGGATTTTATTAATTATGTAATAAGTAAACAACTGCCAGACTCATCAAAGGGATCTGCTGCTTTCAGCAATGCAGTTTGTTTACAAGGTGTGGAAGGTTGGTACCAAAGTGATGGCAGGTTCCCTCAAAGTCAACTGTTTCCAAGTTGCAAAGAGGAAGACATGCCAGTGCCTACAGATCTCAGAGACCAGCTCTCTTTTAGCCAGCTGTTCCCCAGTACATAGACCTGATACCCGCAGAGTCTGTTCCTCTGGGAACAGCAGCCAGAAAAATTGCCTTTGCCAGAGCACAGGGAATGTTCCAATTTCCTTTTGCTATAGAGCCTTGTTCTGTAGACCCTTGGAGATGGGCACTAACCAAGTGGCTGTACTGGAGAGCTGTGCCATGTAGTTGCAAGTCTTCTGAGCAACAGTAGCTCTGCCAGGGCAAAGGGAGTCATTATCAAATTTGCCACTCTTGCCCCTTGCAGTCTGATGTGACTGCCTCACTGAGGCTAATGGAATGACTGGCTTTGGTCTCGGCTATGATGCCTAGATCATAGCTACTTGGTAGCCAGATTTAACACAGAAAAGTAGCAGTAATATGTTCTATGCCACCTAAGCATTTAAACTTAAAGCATGCATCACATATTTTTCTCTGGGAATCCTTATAAAGATTTTATACAGGCTAATATTAGCAACATCATCATCATAGACTTTTATGGACTACCATATAGGATTACTGAGATAATGGCTGGAAATTTATTGAAATTTGTGTAAAATCAGAGTAACATGTGAGATTCAGTTGTAGCTAACCGATGAGGTGGTGGGATGCATCTTGGTTGTGTAATTCAGCACATGACCAGAGTACATCCTGGCATCTCACAATTAGCCACAGTTAACTGCAGTAAGTTACTTAAACACCAATAGGATTCTCACCATTAGGTATGTTCATTTATTGATTCATTTTTAGTCAATTTTTACCTGATCTTTCCAGCTAGGAATGCCCAAGACACCAAGCAACCTACATGTGTATTAAATACACTAAATGATCAGGGGAGACACAGAAGTACAAATAGTTACTGTAGTTGCTGATTTATGTGTTCTATCAGATTTTGGAGTCTGGAACTAAATCTGTAGAATAATTCCCAAATATTAAAATTGGAAAATAAGTAGACAACTGCTGATCACACTCATCCCTTGGAGGGCTGCAGCTTGCTGCTGTGACCATCCTTCCAACTTTTTTCTTACAAAAATTGTTTGTTTTTTAATCGGAAAAAAAATCACCCTTATATCTTTTAGTGGCCAATTAAAAAAATATGAGATGGGGACTTGGAGTGATGCCCCCAAATATGAGTACAAGGGGGCTTTCTAAGCTTCATTTCCCCCCGAATTCTAATTTAATTTAAACTACATTTTTGGGACACTGGAGGCCATATCTTGGCCCAATAAGGCTACAAATAGCTTAAGGGCTACATATTACCTGGCTTATAAAAGCTGCTAGAAAGGGACTGGTAAAGTGGGTAGGAGGAGTGGTGAATGCTTCTTTACAACAGGGTAGGATTCCTGCATGCTTAAAGGAGGCAATAGTAAGACCATTTTTGAAAATGTCTTCCTTGGATCCCACAATACTGAATAATTACTGACCAGTCTGTACTATTCCATTCTTGGGCAAGGTACTGGAACAGGCTGTGGTGTCTCAGCTTCTGAATGAGATGGATTATCTATATCAGTTTCAATTTGGCTTCAGCCCTGGTTATGGGACAGAGATTGCTTTGGTTGCCATGGTGGATGCCCTACACCAAGAAATGGACAGGAGGAGTGTCTCCCTGTTGATACTTCTGGACCTCTCAGGAGCTTTTGAAAGCACAGACCATCTCTCTGGGATGGAACTTGGAAGCACTGTTTTATGGTGGCCTGTCCATCCTGGAGGAGAGCACTCAGAAGGTGGTGCTGGAGGACTCCTCTTTGACACCCTGGGTGCTGACCTGTTGGGTCTCTCAGAGCTTTGTCTTGTTTTCTATGCTATTTAACTTGACATGAAACCACTGAGAGAGATGATCCAACATTTTGAGGTTTGGTGCCACTCTTAAGTGGATGGCACCCACCTCTATCTCTCTTCCATCTAAACCTGAGGAAATTATTTTGGCTTTAAGATAAGCGTCTGCTATCCATAATGGGCTGGATGAGGTGAATAAACTGAAACTTAATCAAGACAAGACAGAGGTGCTCCTGGTCAGTCAAGGCAGATCAAGGAATAAGGATACAGCCTGTGCTGGATGGGCTTCCACTCCTTCTGAAAACACAGGTGTGCAGCTTAGAGGTGCTCCTGGATAAATCTCTGCGCATGGATGTGCAGGTTTTGGTGGTGGTCAGGAGTGCATTGTACAATTAAAACTAGTGTGCCAGCTGCCCCTGTTGCTGGAGAGGTTTGATCTAGCCATGGTGACACATGCCTTAGTTATATCCTGGCTGGATTACTGTAACACACTCTATGTGGAGCTGCCTCTGGGAAGTGTCAAGAAAACAGCAGGTCCAAAATGCTGCAGCCAGATTGATAATTTGGGCTTGTTACAGAGATCACATAGCTTCCCGCTACAGAGCTCCCTTGGCTGCTGATCCATTTCCAGGCACAATTCCTTCCTTCCTTCCTTCCCTCCCTCCCTCCCTCTCTCCCTCTTATAACACACCCTATATCTTATTTGTAGACAACTAAGTCTAGGTTGAAGAAATTATCAGCTTCAAGCCATTATTTCAAACCTTTCTTGGTGTTTCCCAAACTAGATGAAAACAAGATCAGCAAAAATAAGCTAAAGAAACGTAACAGCAGTACCAGCACAAACAGCAGCACTGGCACAAAAATAAATAAATTAACAGACCTGGAGATGGATCCGTTCCAGGAGTTCCTGAAGAGAAGCAGGCTTGACCCTTTTGCTCCTCTTGTGTGGCTTTATCTTTCTGGGTGTGGATTCCTCTTCTGTAATAAGATCCACATAAATGAATTTGAAGTTTCCCACCTTGTTGTTTAGCAACCCTGTCCACATGCCCATTGGGGTTTTACAGATGATGTCAATTATATCTCCTTTCTAGAAGAAGAAGAAGAAGAAGAAGAAGAAGAAAAATAAAAATAAAATGGGTCTCTGAGATACATTGGCTTGACAAGGTCAATTTGCTTTGGTTAACCAAAGCTAACATTGCCTCAAAGGGAAATTAGAATAAACTCACCCACATATGTTTGAACACACACATTTTAACAGAGTACATTTGCTAATACAAAAAGAATTTGTTTTATAAACATTTTTTTAAATTGAGAGGAAGAGACAAAAATAGTCCAGTTAATATATTAGCATTCTCCAGCCTAGTGCTTGACTAATGCATCTGGCTACAGTTCACATAATCTCCACCTAATTTTTCAGATCTTCCATATTGATCAGAGGGTTTCCATAGACAGTGAAAGTCCTTGCCTTCACATCATCTCCCACTATGCTTAGAGGGTCATGGAACTGGGGATACAATTTAAACTACTACATTTTACTTCCTTATTTGTTGATAATCTTTCTCAATCTTAGTCCACTACACCTTGCTTGCATGTTCCGATATCAAGAACCATGGAGCCAGAAGTTGTGAGTTCAATTCCCCACTGTGCCTCCTTAACAGGGACTGGATGTGATTATCCATAGGGTCCCTTCTAGCTCTGCAGTTCTAAGATTACGATCTAAGAATGGTATATAGCCATTATGACTATTGGCCTTTAGCTTTATCTTCCATTTATTTGCCTAATCTCTATTTAAAGACATCCCAAGTGAATGATGATCTCTTCATGTGGTATTGATTTCCATAGTTTTAACTCTATGGTGTCTTCTAGAGTTGGCCATGTGTGCTTGTGCATGTGCATGCATTTATTTCTGGACATCTGATAATACTTGGGGTTGTGCTTAGTCACACTTGTTGGCACTTCCTGTTCCAAATGCCAATGCACCAGTTCCAAGCCACACTCAAAACTATTTACAACATATTTTTCAAATCTTGTCATTCTCCATGGCTGTTTCCTGCCCATCTTCTCCTAGTCTCCACCCTCACATGATAAATAATGGCTGTCCATTTCTTTGCATCAATCAATGGTCTATTGTGTATAAAAGGATAAGAGGAAAAATTGGTGCAGTTTTCTAATATGTATAATCCAATGAAATAGCTGCATCTAGAAGGACCTAGATTTAGTCTCTTTAAGAATCAGATCACTTCTGAGTTTTTTTTTTTTTTAAAAAATACGCTATACTATGCTGGTAATTGTGCAGTAGTGACAGTATTACTTCCCTCCCCATAGAGCTCCACCACACCATCTCTGTGCTTCAGTTTGTGGGCACCAATGGATCCTCCTTCCTTCCCTGCTTCATTGTTTACTCTCTTTTGTGCGCATGAGCAAGGCTGGATATACACTCGTTTCACATGATAGTGAGTGTCAGAATATCAGTACAGGCAGATGGCTAACCAGACATGCTCTTCACTGAGGGTTATTGGTTAGCTGGTTAAGCTGGCCCTGAAGGTTCTGCTTGAAAACATGCCACCTGCTCTGAGCAGCCACCATTTTCCTGAAAAAGAGGCTAATTGGGCTGCTGGCAAGAACAACTACAACAAGGATGATGAAGGCATCAAGAGGCAGTCTTAGAAGGGGGAGGCAAGGGGCATATTTGTACCTGGAGGGATTGTGGGGCAGGGGGGGATGATGGCAGTTCTTCCACCTCAAACAGTGGGAGAGCATATTGCCAGTTTTAAAAATAATGTTTCAGTAAAAAAACTGACAGGAGCTTTGGCTCATTCTGTTCATTATGGGATGCTGTCGTCTGCCTCTGTCCATCCTTTTGAGAAACTGCAAATAAAGTAGGAAATGGCTGGAGAGGCAAAGAGTTTGAGCACACCCACTCCTAAGATCACAACAGTGAAACACCCACCCAGTATTATAACAACATATGGCATAACTTGGAACCACACCGCTTGTTTGGTCCTGGAAATTATAGGCTTTTAAACAGACGGTAGAACTTAACAAGGATCAGGGGGGAAAGGAGACAGTTAATTTAACTGTGTGAAAAAGAACGTGACAAGGTCAACATCATTGGGATGCCAGAATCAGAAGCGGAAATTAGCACTCACAAAACACCCCCTAGAATGTAATGAGTACTGTCTAGTGAACTCCCTGTGCTGTATGAAGAAGAGCTTGCTTTTACATGACCTAAATTTCCTACCATTCAATTTCAGTGGAAGACCATGAGTTTTATTATTGTATGAGAGATATGAAAACTTATTTCCTTCTACTTTTTTGAGTAGAGTACACTTTTAATTTCTATCATGCCTCCCTACACTCACAACATTTATAAATTACAAGCTCCAAACACTATAGCCATTCCTCATAAAGGTGTTGTTCCACACCAAATTATTTGTCTAAGAAATTGCAACCAGTTCTCTTTGAGCCAGATTGTAGCCTATCTAATTCAGTTTGTATCCAAATATTTAAAAATATTTGTATGTATTTGTGTTTGTCAGAATAGTGGGGTGAGGTGGAGAACCATGAAAATGGCAGGAGTAAAAAGCTTCTGAGTTGAAATGGGGAGGTGAAACTGAATGTCATCAACTGCTGCTCAACCTCCAGTATACAGACAAAGCTCCCATCAATTTTCTTCATTCCTTCCTTCTTTTTCTCTTTTCCTTTTCTCCTACCTGCTCCTATCCCACAACCCAGAGTGCTGTCCTCTGAAGATGCCGGCCACAGAGACTGGCAAAATGTTAGGAAGAACAACCTTCAGAACACGGCCAAAGGGCCCGAAAAACCCACAACAACCATTACTCAAGCCCCTTCACCATGACAAGGCAGCAATCCGTGAAGGGGACAGTTTTGGTCACCGCCACTCAAAAAAGATATAGTGGAACTGGAAAAGGTGCAGAAGAGAGTGACTAAAATGATGACTGGGCTGGGGCACTTCCCTTGTGAGGAAAAGTACAGTGTTTTGGGCTCTTTAGTCAAGAGAAAAGGTGCCTAAGGGGGAACATGACTGAGACATATAAAATTATGCAGCGAATGGATAAAGTGGATAGAGGAAAGCTCTTTTCCCTCTTACACAATAACAGAACCAGGGGACATCCACTCAAACTGAGCACTGGAAGAGTGATAATAGACAAAAGAAAATATTTCTTTACCCAGTGTGTTGTTAGTCTGTGGAACTCCTTGCCACAGGATGTGATGATGGCACCTGGCCTAGATGCCTTTAAAAGGGATTGGACATATTCCTGGAAGAGTCGGACACGACTAAATGATTAAATGAACGAACGGACAAACAACCAAAACTGTACGCAATACTCCAGGAGTGGCCTTACAAGCATTTTGTTGTTGTTTAGTTGTTAAGTCATGTCTGACTCTTTGTGACACTATGGACCAGAGCACGCCAGGCCCTCCTGTCTTCCTCTGCCTCCTGGAGTTTGTTCAAATTCATGATGGTAGCTTTGATGACACTGTCCAACCATCTCGTCCTCTGCCGCCCTCTTCTCCTCTTGCCCTCACCCTTTCCAACATCAGGGGCTTTTCCAGGGAGTCTTCTCTTCTAATGAGATGGCCAAAGTATTGGAGCCTCAGCTTCAGGATCTGTCCTTCCAGTGAGCCCTCAGGGTTGATTTCCTTCCGAATGGATAGGTTTGTTCTCCTTGCAGTCCAGGGGACTCTCAAGAGCCTCCTCCAGCAGTTCAAAAGCATACATTCTTCAACAGTCAGGCTTCTTTATGGGCCAGCATTTTGTACACTGGCATTATAATGTTGGCTGTTGTATTTTCAATCCCCTTTTTAATGATACCTAGCATGGAACTGGCCTTTTTCACTGCTGCCACACACTGGGTTGACACTTTAATCGAGCAGTCCACCAACACACCAAGATCTCTTTCCTGATCTGTCATGGACAGCTCAGAACCCATTAGCTGATAACTGAAATTTTGATTATTTTTTTTGCCCCAATGTGCATTACTTTACATTTTCTTATATTGAAACACATTTGCAATTTTGCCTCCCATTCTCCCAGTTTGAGTGATCCTTCTGGAGCTCTTCACAATCTCTTTTGGTTTTCAACACCCAGAAAAGTTTGTGTCAGCTGCAAACTTGGCCACCTCACTGTTTATCCTGGTCTCCATGTTGAACAGGTTGAAAAGCACCGGTCCCAGTTGCACACAATTTTCACCTCTTTTCATTGAGAAAATTGCTCATTGACACCCACTTTCTTTTTCCTGGTTCTTAGGCAATTCTCAATCCATAGAGGAACTGTTCTCTTATCCCCCGTGGAGTTTTCTCAGCAGCCTTTTGTGAGGGACTGCATCAGACACCTTCTGAAAATCCTAGATAGACAATATCCACTGGATTGTCTAAATCCACATGCCTGTTGACTTTTTCAAAGAATTCTAAAAAGTTTGTGAGGCAAAACTTACCCTTATAATGTAATGTAATGTTTTTAAAAACCATTGTTGAATTGTAAGCCGCCTAGAGTGGTCGAATAAGACTAGATAGGCGGGATAGAAATCAAATAAATAAATAAATAAATAAATTATAGAAACCATGCTGATTTTCCCTCAGCAAGGCTTGTTCTTCTATGTGTTTTAAGATTTTATCTTGGATGAGGCTTTCCACCATCTTCCCTGGAACAGACGTTAGGCTAACCAGCCTGTAGTTTCCTGGGTCCCCCCTCCTTTCCTTTTTAAAGATTGGCGTGACATGTGTTATCCTTGGTCCTCTGGCACTGTGGCCATTTTAAAGGGCAAGTTGTATATTTGAGTTAAAAGATCAGCAACTTCTTTCCTCAGTTCCTTGATAACCTTTGAGTGGATGCCATCTAGGCCCGGTGACTTATTGATCTTCAATTTATCAATTAAGTCTAAAAAAATTCCTCTCTTTTAACCTGTATCTGATATAATTCATTAGTCAGGAGGGGTCATTCTGGCAGTAGAATCTGCCCAAGGTCTTCTGTCATGAAGACAGATGCAAAGAACTCATTTAATTTCTCTGCAATCTCCAAGTCTCCCTTTCCCTCCCTCACCATTCAGAGGGCCAGCCACTTCTCTGGTAGGTTTCTTGCTTTTAATATATTTAAAGAAGCTTTCATTATTCCCCTTTATATTGCTGGCCATATGTTCCTCAAAGTCTTTCTTTGCCTTCCGTAGCATCTTCTTACATTTCTTTTGTCAAAATTTGTGTTCCTTTTTATTTTCCTCATTTGGGAAGGATTTCCATTTATGGAAGGACCCCTCCTTGCCCTTTAAAGCCTCTCTAATTCCACTCATTAGCCATCCCAGCACCCTCTTGGACTTACTTGAGCCCTTATTTCTTTGCGGTACAGTGGACCCTCGACTTACAGATGGCTCAGCTTACAGACCTTTCGAGTTACAGACTTCTCTGGCCACAAAATTTAGGTTCGACTTGCAGCCTGAGAATCGACCTACAGACCAGAAAAAACCACAAATGGAACAAAAATGGAATAAAAATGGGCAGTTACGGGATTAATAGGTTTTCAATGCATTGTAGGTCAATGGAGACTCGACCTACAGACTTTTCGACCTGCAGCCACCGTTCCAATACAGCTTAATTCCCTAAGTAGAGGGTCTACTGTATACACTTCCGCTGGGCCTCTACTACTGTTGTTTTAAACAGGCTCCATGCACTCTGGAGAGATTGGATTCTTTTTACCTTCCTTTTCAACTTCTTTCTAACTAGTTTCCTCATCTGAGGAAAGCCTGCCCTTTGGAGATTGAGGGTTTTTGTGTCACACACTCTCCCCTCAAGATGCATGGCGAAAGAGATCGCAGCATGGTCACCATTCCCTAGTGGCTCAGTGACATCCATGTCCCTAACCATCGGCTCCTTCTCACTCTACCTACCTTCCACTCCCTCTTCTTCTCATCATTGTAGAACCCTCAGAGACAAAACTGAAGGCACTATGAGGCATTCCTAGAGGAAAAGAATTCCATCTTCCTACAAGCAGACATAGCTTTCTCCCAGCACAGGGCATCTTTGGATCAAATCAAAACTAACATGATATTGTGGCTTATGAACTATCATTTGACCCAAACTTGTACGCTAGGCAGTAGTATGTCCTATTTCTGGAGAATTTGCATTAAACTATTGAAGCAGCTACTGTGATTTCCTTTAAACCACTTTAAAAGAGCTCATTGTTGTTATGCTCCAGTAAAAACAAAATGACAACCTAGGCAGACCCTCTTTTCTCCTGGGGCTCAAATTATTACTTTAGAGTTCTCACTCAGCAGTGAAGCAGTGCTTAATCATACCCCACATGGCTGAAAGATGAGCACAAGACATCATCCTGTCTTTGCTAATATGGAAAAGTCAAACATTGTTCCCCGAACCACCTTCCCCAGCAGTAACTCAACTCATCCTGCAACAGAATATTTGGCAGCACCCTGTGAAGTGAGACCAGAACAAAAAGTGCCAAATAATTATTAGTTATGCCACTTTAGTCTGACACAAAAAGCTTCAAGAACAAATGTCTTAAAAGGTCCCTGTGGAATAAAGCCAACCTGCAAATAGTCTCACCTTGATTTTGAGAGAGTCTGTGTCATAAGGGCTTGGTGTGAAGTCTGTGTGTACTTTGGCTTTGCCACAGAAAGGTCCAGTGTAAGGGACTTCATCATCAAGCCTTAGGCTGTCCCTGTTGCTTGTTCCATCTGAGCAGCTGGTTACTCCACCTGGAAGCAAAAAGAATATTCTACCTTACATATGTCTAAGATGGATGTTACATGAACCTAAACAACTCCATAGAACATCCTCTGAAAGACATAATTGAATAGAAGTACTATAAAAATGTGGTGGCACTGTGGGTTAAACCGCAGAAGCTTCTGTGCTGCATGATCGGAAGACCAGCAGTTGTAAGATTGAATCCACACGACTGAGTGAGCTCCCGTCAGTTGTCCCAGTTCCTGCCAACCTAGCAGTTCAAAAGCATGTAAAAATGCGAGTAGATAAATAGGTACCATCACGGTGGGAAGGTAACGGCGTTCCATGTCTAGTTGTGCTGGCCACGTGACCACGGAAACTGTCTACGGACAAACACTGGCTCTATGGCTTAGAAACGGGGATGAGCACCGCCCCCTAGAGTCGGACACAACTAGAGAAATTGTCAAGGGGAACCTTTACCTTACTATAAAAATACTACCATTGCCCTACCATAAATGAGGTGGAAAGGATACAGTTCACCCCAAACTAAGCACTTTACAGTCCTAGCGAATTCATGTCCATAGGACTTAGTAGCACTTAACTTTGGCTGGATCATGCCCCTTGTAATTAATTAACATATGCCGCGGGATAATCCTTGCTTGAGAAAATGTGCTAACAGATGGACAGTTTGGTCCTCAAAGCCCTGAAACAGCAAAATGACATTAAAATGATCAAAGTCTACATCAGCAGAGTGCAATGAAGACCAGACCTGAGATTTTCCTCTAGTCTGAAAACTAATAATGTGTACTTCTAATGTACTATTTAAATGATCATTTGTTGAATATTTTTTCTTTATTATCTTTATTCAGGAATAAGATCTTACTTCAGATGTCTTAAGTATCATACGAATAGTGCTTCAGAAGAATCTTGCTGTCAGAGGGGAAAGTGTTGGTCTCAAGATTTCTGCTATTTTGTCAGCTGAATAATCCTGGATCAGTATATTTTAGCAAGTGTTGCAAATTTCATTAAAATATGCTTTAGATAACAGCAACAGAACTTCAAAATCCCCCCTCCTCCAGAAATGCAATAGAACAAGAACATCTTCCAGCTGATGTATTTGCTTATGCCAGGCACTGAATAATCCGAAAACCTTTCCATTTATTTTAATAATCACTACCCTAACAAAAGACAAAACTGCATTGACAAGCCAGAACAGTAAGGCAGCTGACATAGCGTCAAACCATCTGTTACTGACAGCACACTGTTAGAAAAACAAATTCCTTATGGGCTGAAAACTGTCTGATTGTCACAGCTTGAGCTTTTCTTACATCCCATTGTTAGTAAATTTGTTTTTTTATGTTTGGTCACTGAGAGAGAAACATGGATTTTGTTAAGAAGTACAATTTCTCAGGCATGAAGGTCTGCCAGAATTACATCTCTGAAATGCTAATTTGATATCAGCTTCTAATGAGATGCTATTGTGACCTGTAATTTGCCCCTTAGGATGTCATGACATTGCGGCAAATGGTTTGTTATTTGATTTGTTGTTGTCGTCTTTTTACTACCAGGGAGAGCGGATGGAGCAATTATTCCACCTTTAGTATCAAAATAATTTATTCCGTCTTGAGTACTGTGAGTCTTGAGCTGAGAACTGGGGTACAACTTGGTGGAGGTGCAAAATGCTTGGACTAGCACTGACCAAAGGTGATGCAACCATAGGCTCGTCCATCCTGTGGCCCCTTTTTTGTGTTCTTTTCCTGATGAAGCAAGAAGGCCTTCTATTTTTCTCAACAACAGGTGACATATGAGGCCCTGGAAGAGAACTAGCTATGGCTTCATTCTTCTTTTTTGACTGCAGAAAGAAATAGGAAGGAGCTCTATGTTTTAAAAGGCAACTTTGCTTCCTCCTTTGATGTGTCATATCCAACATTTTTAAATTGTTCTTTTGTGGACTGTCAGATTCCACAGAGGAATATCTGAGTGCCTTCACGGAGCTCCTGTTTTATGTACTCCCTATAAGAGACTTATATATTTATGTTCTATGCACATCTGACAAGGAATTTAATCATGGTCACAGAAAATTTTGTACCTTACTTTCTATTCATTCATTTCTTCCTTCCTAGATACCCTTCAGAATTTTTGCTTAAAAGTTCAAAAATAAAACCCTTTTCTTCTTTAAAAGACTTATTTAGCAAGCTACTAATTGTTTAAATAAAGGCCAAAAATGCAAACTGCACTCGGAATATGAGTGGTCCTCACACGACCAGATAGGCGGGATATAAATAAAAT